ACAGAAATGATAATTTAGGGCATTGCGAAGCTGTGGGATTTGACAAAACTTGATTTCAAAGTATGGGTTATTTGGAACAAAATTCGGAAGTTTTGTGCGTGAGTTACGCGTAAGGAAAAAGATGAACATTTGTTATAAACGAGTTTTCTTGCCGGCGAAAATTTACATGTCAACACAATCCATGACTAAACCAAACTAACACACTTTGATAGGGAAAAACACAAAAAAAAAAAAAGTATTAAACTTATTGCATTTGTACAAATTTAGTCGTAAACCTTTCAATTGCACAAATACATTTTCACATCGGTACCAATTCAATCTATTCAACCAATTTAGACCTGAAACCGTTGATGTGGGTGCCAGACATCCTACGTGGCACGGCAACGCTGTCGTTGACATTTTTCAATAATATTTTAATATTTTTACAATTTTTAAATTTTTTTGTTTTTTCTTTTCTTTTCTTATTATTATTTTTTCTTTCTTTTTTTCTTCATTTTGGCTGGTGAGGACTAGCAAACACTCGCCCGCTATAGGTAAGGTGGCAATCCTCACCTAAATCTAGTGAGGGCCTTTGTGGCCCCGTCGGCCGCAGGCAAGGCCCTTCATGGCCTTACCCAAATTTGGTGAGGGCTTGTTGTTAGCACGTAAGACGGTCGACGTTCACGTTAGCGATTTCTAGCTTAAATTGGACTTAATTGGTGCCAATGTGAAAAATTTAGAACTAAATTGATCCGATTAAAAGGTTTATAACTGAATTGGTACAAATATAATAGGTTTAGGACATTTTTTAGTATTTCTCGCCACTTTGATAATTTAAATTCTCAGTAATGAAAAGTCAACTAGGGATGGCCAGAAGAAAAATATAACCACAACTATTATATAATTCATGACTCAATGTCCTGTTGTTTGATGCATGATGAAATAAGAGAATTTGCGCGCTATTTATCCACCGGTACTTCATATAATCAGCTCGTTGATTTCGTGCCGTGACCACGAAAGCTTCAGGGACGAGAAACACACAAAACACCATCGCGACAATGAAGCAAAATTTGCAAAAGCCTTGAGGTCATTGTGTTCAAGAGAAATTGCAGATTGCTTAACGTTCGACAGTTGATTTTTTGTATACTCCGACAACGATCAATCGAATTTGTACTGCGATTTAGCTCCCGCGTTCATCTCCATAGGCCATGGCAAGGTGCCATCATTTACAAATGAATCAACATCTTTCATTTTCTTCCTTAGAGAGTCAGTGACAAATTAAAGTATATGCTAATCACCAAAAAATAATTCCTACACGTTGTAAGATCCCAAAGAAGAATAAGAGCCGGTCCTGACTTAACTTTCAAATCAATTCGAGCACGTGACGAGGTCAAATTTCCGAATACTACGGAAACCCTAGGGGGAGCTCTGAGTTCTTGAACATCGGACAACTCATTTTGATGAGATCTTCTTCCTTTTGTTATTGGTCAATCAGTGAAATGAAACATTTCTTATGTTGGGTTCCTAGCTTTTTTTACTCGTTTTCAAGGTATCTAAATTATTATGCCATGTCAGATGTATTCTTTTTTTTCTTTTGAATCGATAGGTCAGATGCATTCAAACGCTTCATTACTTCTGCCAGAAACTTAAGCAGTAAAAGATGGATTAAATGCTTCGTTACAGTTGATGACATTCAATTAGATGAGCTATCGTCGTCACATTTTTTTTTAGTCTATCCTACTCTAATTTTCAACTCACTTATAAATTTTTGCATTGCCTTTTTGCGGAGCGTAGAAGTCGAAACCTACATCTGAAACTAAACGTCTCCACCCTAGCTCCTCTAAAAAGATGGGAAACCGAACTCTTTACCTCTCCATTCCCAAGTAAGAAGGGCGGCTACCCCAGTGGTTGATTGTTAGCATGTTGCGTGGTATAAATATTGTATAATGTAAGTTTCAGAGATGTTGGAGAAAGTAAGATTGATGGCGTAGTTCATGAGCTCGCACAAGATTAAACGGGCTGAATGGCTTAGGAAGTTGATATGAAGTGCTCCTGAACGGCATGGTTGTCTCAAGTTGATGGGCTTGCCAATCTCATAATTCCAACCACATGCAATGTGTACTGGCAGTGTCCCATGTTCTTCCCGTCGTGGCACCACACTTCTTTCATTTTCTATAGAATTCTTATTCATTTCATTATTAGTTGATTGCTTTTTTTTTTTTCATTTTCAAAATTGCAAAGTTGCATTTTCTTTGGAAATGGCCACTAATGCACTTGACCGTTCTAGCTACTTCACAAAGTCAAACGATGGGGCGTCAGAACTAATCGATTACTATAATTGACTGCTTCTATCTGACATACTTGTCATGATGATTCCGCAGAGCAATCACATGGCATTATTGGGAAACTCTCAAACTATCTTCGGGAAGATATTATTGCAAAGTGAATTACCACGGCACGTGTCTCGTGGGCTCAAATTATGTCCGAAACGAGTTCCTTAAATTGAGATGTACTCGTGAGTTATTGGAGAATTGATATAGGTAGAGTGATTAACATATCATAATTGATTCATAACTTATTAATTTAAATTTTTGAGCCAAAATGGATTTGATCGGATATAATGACGAGATCGGACTTGAGCTCTCTTTTGATGATATCGTGGGATGAAGCTATCAGATTTTTGCTGTACATTTTTAACAAATGGTATCAAAGTCGATATTGATTGGTGACACACTCTCAATATATATTGGTATTTTGTGAATATTTCAAGAAATGAATCCCGTGACCAATGTAGTTTCTACACACCCACTCCCAACGTCTATCAGTGTTTGGTAAATAACTTAAGTAAGGAATTTCATGACCAACGTGGTTTCCACACAGCATTCATGGTTTGATCAGGCAAAAGAGACTTAGGGCGAAGGTGCCTATTGTGTAGATTCAATTTGAGTTGATGTATAATGATACATAAATTAAGATGGAGCAAACCTAATATTGTGCACACATGTGAGGGGGTCATTATTGAGATGCATGTGTGAATTATGTTAGAATTGATGTTGAGTGGAATAGTTAATATATACTAATTGGCTTATAACTTGTTGGATTAAACTTTTGAGTTAAAATGAGTCTATCGGATTTATTGACGGGCTCAGATTTTGACTCTTTCTTAGCGATCTCTCAGATTGAAGATATCGGATTTCTACTTGCGCTCCCAAATCCACCATGAACGAGGGATAAACAAGCTTAAAATCTCACACCCAAGTCCCAGATTATACCCAATCAATCCTCACCCAGTGTTTCACCAAATCTCTCAAGTGCTTTTCTCACAAAACTCTCAAACAAAACCCCTAGAAATACTCTCAAGAGGTTATGATGTGTAAATACACTTTTCTCTCATAAAAGCTCTATAAATTTAGGGTTTAAAACACATACGAATCCTGTCAGCATTGGGGGCCGAGTATACAGCTAAAGTTGGCCAAAACTCAAGAAATGCTCATCAATATTAAAATAAGTAGCACTTCTTAGATATTTTCGTTCATTTTTTTTTATCGAACGTCATAATATATTCTTCAAACAAATCTAGATTACACAATGCATGTATTTAAAACAACAACTTAGCTGTTATCACAGCTTATTGTTCAATTATTGAGGTTTCAAGTGGAGTGGGCGATGGTGTGACCTCTATGAGCTCGTTCCACCGGCCAAAACATTGACGCAAGACCCAACTCGAGCTGACCGTAAAAGTCAATATGCCCTAGTCCAATCCAATCCGAATTTGAAACAATTTTTTTGGGTCTGGGAAAGGCATTTATTTTGCGCTTGCCGGCCTACGGAAGCATCAAGTCTGCAAAACGAGATAGAAATTTCTATTGTGCACAAAAAGTTTTATTGGATGAAAGGGTAAATCTTACGAGTTAGAAGATCAATATTAGGCTTAATCTTTCAAGTTTAGAAGATTGTAACACCATGAGTTGATTTTATGGAGATATTAGGAAGAGAGTTCATAATATAAGAACAGTCTTAACGTACACACCTTAAAGCCGGAAATGGGAACGACGAACTTGATCTACAAATGCACTGGAAGATTGGTTTGCACCAGAACAAACGGGTAAATGTGTCCAGATTTTGTAACATGATTGGCCCTCCGATGCATAAGTTAGCATTTGGAATTGAGGAAAATTTAGAGGAGAGAAAGAGAAAATGATGAACTTTTAAGGTTGAGAAGAGAGCTGTATTCTTGAAAGAGAAGTGCTGGAAAAAGTACCCGTGTCTCGTATTACTATTTATATATTTCTGTTGAGGGGTCGTCGGATTATATTGGACAAGTGGCGATCAATGAATGACAAGTAGTAAAAAAGTGTGACAAATAGCATCCGTCCCATTATAGGGATCAATGCAAAGAAATGCTTAAATTTTGACACTAGAGGAAGAACTCCTCGGAGCTTTAGCCCTTGCGAAAGAACTCCCAGGGAAATTTTTCCATCTTAACGACTCATAGATACTCTAGAGGAAGAACTCCTCGGATTCTTTGTCTGGTCGGAAGAACTCCGAACGCGCTATCTCGAATCATGACGGCCATCAAGCATAAATGAGCTCATCGTGAGTGAGTAGTAATGAGCTTATTGTTTGTCCACTTGTATGACAACTTTTTTGGTCCGACACTTCATTGTAAGTTGGCAAAAGTAGATCACGATCATTCTTCTTCAATATCGATCCGGTGGAGTAAATCCCGCAAGCCCTTAAAATATAACAAAGTCAAAGGCACAAGGCGGAGTTCGAATAAGGAACACGGATCGGTACCAAATCAAGTAGGAGTTAGCTCCCAAGTTGGCTCGTACGAAGATGCATGTTGCATACAAGAAAAGTATGCTAGACTGTCGTGCTAATGACAGCCCATAAATCAAAGGTCAATTAGTGGATGGTGCGAAGTATATATAAATGCCAAAGCGGTTTGCTAATGGAAACATCCACAACAAAACACTAAGATCAAGCGACAGTAATCATCATCTTCTTGGCACAAAGCAATGGCTTGTCCAAAGCTCTTCCTGTCTGGTTTGTTGATTCAGTTGATGTTCTTGTCTCTTGTTCCTGAGTTCGCTCATGGTCAGGGTCTCAAGGTAGGGTTTTACCAGAAGACATGCCCAAATGCAGAGGCCATCGTGAAGAAGGTCATCGGCCAAGTCATGTCTGTCGCTCCGAGTTTCTCGGGTCCTCTCTTGAGGATGCATTTTCACGACTGTTTCGTTAGGGTAAGCGGGAGAATGAGCGCATGTCGAATGACTGAAAAGAACGGGTTTTATTTTCATCGAATTATCGGCTAAACATCCATTAGAACAAGTTACATTCTAACAAATGGTATTTGGCTCCACAACATACTTTTTCTAGATTCATCCGTGGATACGAACTGTTTTCTGCATGAACTTACAGTTGAATAATATTTCCTTCTGGGGTTTTCCACAGGGTTGTGAAGGTTCAATACTCTTGAACTCTTCGACCCATCAAGCCGAGAAGGACTCGCCACCGAATCTCAGCCTTCGAGGTTACCAAGTAATCGATAGAGTCAAAACGGCGTTGGAGAAGGCTTGCCCTGCCACCGTTTCGTGTGCTGACATTTTGGCCATCGTCGCTAGAGATGTCGTTGTCGCGGTGCGCACATGCATATGTCACTTCCTTTATTTATTCTTTTTACTTTGAACGTTCGTTATGTACACGCGACATAAGTAGAAATCTCCATTTTCACAAACAATCTATGTTATCTCGTTGGAAATAAATTCTATTTTCAAAACCTTTGTGACAAAACTCGATGATTTTTCTTTATGAGAAAAACATATTAATATAAGAGTTGGGTTTTTTTTCTTTTGTTTGCCACTTTAGACTGGAGGACTTTCCTATGACGCGGAAACCGGACGAAGAGATGGGGTCGTTTCCAGCTTTACAGAGCCACTTACCAATTTATTACCACCTACGGCCAACATTACAGTTCTGAAAGCAGGATTTGCAAGCAAAGGCCTCAGTGTGAAGGACCTTGTCGTCCTATCAGGTAACACCTAATCTCCAATTGTCGCTTCGTATGCTTTGCCAATTATTTTGTCGAAATTGACATAAATTAATCAGGAAGAAACTGTAATTTGAGCGCGAGATTCATCAAAACGGTCAGCACTACAAGGAGAAAACGTAATTTGTAAAGTTAGATCATGCTAATTGCGATTTCCTATTGACCAGGTGGGCACACCATCGGAACTTCACACTGCTCTTCCTTCACCAACCGCCTCTACAACTTCACTGGAAAGGGCGATGCCGACCCCTCGCTCGACTCCAACTACGCAGCGAGACTGAAGCTCAGGTGCAAGCCGAATGACCAGACCACCCTCGTCGAGATGGACCCGGGAAGCGTGAGGACGTTCGACATCAAGTACTTTGATCTCCTCTCGAAGAGAAGAGGCCTCCTCACTTCGGACTCCGCACTTCTCGCCGACAGCCAAACCAAGGCGTACCTTGACCTCCAGATCAAGACCGGTGGATCCACCTTCTTCAAGGACTTTGGAGTGTCGATGGTGAACATGGGTCGAGTCGGCGTGCTCACCGGAACGGCTGGTGAAGTCAGGAAAGTGTGTTCAAAGATTAATTAATTGAGGATTGACGATGAAGACACAGGATTGAGGATGAAACGATTGGAATTAATGGATTGCTGTTGTTTACTTTGTTTGTTGGTTCATCGTTTGTTCTTTTTGCATCTATTTCGTTCGTTCTATGTTAGGTTCCTCTAATTGTTTTGACATAGCAAGTATCTATTCATTTCGTTTTGTTGAATTTAAGCCAAATGAGAGGAAATAAAAGTCTTGGCAGATTCTTGATTTTGAACAATATAAGTGGATATAACTGTTAGAATATCCCCCATCATTTGGTTATAGGTTTTATGTGCTCTTTTTTATGCTTATGGTCTCCTTCCATCTCTTGTCTTAAGCTTTTTAGTTGAACTTTCAAACAATAACTTATGAAATACGGGAAAAATTGGTCGATCAATCTTAAACTTAATGTACAGATGCTAATTTAGTTTTAAAATTTTCAATTTTGCCAATTTAGTCATAAACATTTGCGCAAAATTCCAATGCAGTCCTTCCAGCCAATTTTCATCATGAAAGTACAATTGAGTCCTAAAACTTTCAAAAAATGCAATCAAGTCATAAAATTTATCTCGAAAATGCAACCGAGTCCTAAATCTTTCGGAAAGTGCAATCAACAAAATGACTTGATTGGATCAATTTGACAAGTTTTAGGACTGTTCCTAAATGACATCGTTATCTTAAATTAATGGGGAAAATTACCTAGTCGTTCCTAAACCTTTTGTACAAGTGTCAATTCAGTCCTAAACTTTTCAATTTTATCAATTTAGTCCTAAACTTGTGCGAAATTCCAATGCAATCATTCTAGTCAATTTTCGCTGGAATTCGCTTCACCGTCCTACATGGCACTCTCTCATGTCAGCGACTTCTGGCGAAAATTGGCCGAAAAGGACTACTTTAAAATTTCGCACAAAGGTTCAAGACTGCATTGACAAAATTGGAAAGATTAGGATTGAATTGGCAGTCATACAATAAGTTTAGGACCGATTGGGTAATTTCCCCCTAATTGATGGTCTATCAATTATAATTCCAACCACATGCAATATATAATTGATTTGTATATCCGTTGAGAATGGCCACCTAATGCACTTGACCTGACTGTTCCAGCTAGTTGATATAGTCGAATGAAAGGGCCTAAAAACTCATTTAACTACTACAAATGATTGGTCTTATTTGACATACTTATAATGGCAGCATTGCGGAACAATGGCAATTCATTATTTGGAAACTCTCTGACTGTCCTCGGGAATATTGGTGTTGCATAGTGGAGTTACCACGGCATGTGTAATTGGACAAATTTATCTCAAAAACGAGTTCGTTGGTGAGGCTTTTAGGATGGATATTAATAATCTACTCGAAGGGTTTTACATGATAGATGGGATGTTAAGAAAAAATAACATTTGTGGCAAAAAGTGGATCGTGCAATCGATCGCGATAGGGAGATCAACAGAGAAATGAGCAAGAAACAAAGACAACAACGCACGAGGATTTATTTGGTTCGGTTTAGGAGAAATTGCTCAATCAATCATAAATTAACAAAATTGGAAAGTTTATGACTATATTGGCATCCTCACAATAAGTTTAGTACTGATTGGATAATTTCCCCTTTAGTTTAAGTGTATAAACCTACTCCAAGGAGATAGCGTTGGCCATGAATCCGCTAGGAACGACGGAGATCAAGCTCAGACCAAAAGCTCTCACACCCAAGCCTCGTAATATACCAAATCGATCAATCTCACTAGTATTTTAATCACAAAACTATAGGATAAGAATAGCATGAGTGCCATAACTTTCGTACGGCGCTCACTTGAATGTCATAACCTTTTTTTTGCTCACGTAAGTGCCACAAAATTTGAAAAATTGATTATTTAAGTGCCATCGGCGATTTGTCTCGTTGGAAAATCCAACATGGACGTTGATCGTCCTCCGTGGCAACACCAGCGCCAATGTAGATAATTTTTGTCACGCCCCGTACCCCACGAAGCATAAGTATCCCGCTTATAGGTCGAAATAGTAGTGCGACGCTCCCAGGACACGTCGCCGACCCAAAACCCAACATAGAGATCAAGCCACAAGCGAAAGCACGATATATAAATAAATATATATCACCCAGACAAAATAAACACGAGCCAAGGATAGCCGCACACGAGTGATCAGCAAATAAAAACAACTATACTCTTTTATAAACATATAGAAGCTTATACAAAATCCATTTACAAAGAGCCAAAACCAAAAACGAGTCGCGGCCAAGACGAACAAAAAGGATCAGTGGCCGGGGTACTAAACTGAGCTAAGATGGGCTTCAGTCAAAAAGATATAGCCCATGCTAAAGCATAATACCTAATGTACATATTTCCGTCCCCCACTGGGTGTACAGACATCGTCTTCTCAATGAAGTGGGGAATCCCAAAACGCACGAGCGGCTCCGCCATCTTTACTGCCGGGGGTCTGAAATATCGGTTTTCCAACAACCGTGAGATAAAACTCAGCAAGTACAAAACCCCTAATCCTAAACTAGGCTAAAGTGCACCTCCAGACAGGTAATTCAAACATGCCAATTAATGAACCAGTAAAACACTATAATTATCCTGGGTTCACAGCCCAATACATTATCTCGAAGCCCTGCAGGTTAGGCGTTCAACAACAATAATACTTGCGTGCAATTATTCCGACCCGTAGGCCCGACCCGAAGGCCAACAGTTGAATATAACGACCCGTAGGCTCGACCCGAAGGCCAACAATTGAATATAACGACCCATAGGCCCGACCCGAAGGCCAACAATTGAATATAACGACCCGTAGTGTGGCATCCCAGGCACGCCCCTTCCTATATGTCATCCTAACCTCACGCGGTTATAAGAGTTCGCACACGGAAACGTTTCTTTTCTTTTTTTTTAAAAGGCATTTAAAACTTGAATTTATAACTAATAAAAAAAAATAAAGATAACACTGGCACTAAACTTCAACATTCTTTATTTATAAACAGGGATGATACAAGGGTGAGTTCATACCGGGGAGGTTATGTACAGTGCTACTCCCATCACTATCCTATCAACATAAAACTCACCATTTCATCTATAAAAAACGTATCACCTATCACGTGACCCTATCCCAAAAAGTGTCGGTCACATGTCCCAAAAATGATCCTCCCCATCCTCCAACTACAGCTCACTCCACCCCACTAGAAGCATCGTCATCCCCGTCGTCGGACACGTATGGTAAGGGCCCTATCAGTCGCCCCCCAACACGAGCATACACTGCCAAAAAACCTAACAATATAGATCCGACAGGGGGCCCAACATCTACAGTCAATACTGAGATACATCGCACGAACACTATCCCGGGGACATCAGGAATCTCGAACTCTGATAGATGTCCCGAGAAGTCGATCGGGGCACCATAGCTAACTGAGGAGGAGGCGGGTAGGATAGGCATAGCTAAAGATCTGTAAAAGTTTGTCACAACAACAGTGAGCTAGGCTCAACAAGTAAAATATCTGTCAACCTATACCAAACAAGAATAGAATACATATCAACGAGCATAGGTATCACAATCTTCTAGCTAGACTTACTAATCATAAAAATCATATTTTGTTGTGCTCATGCTAGTAATCATCTCAAGTGTAATACTTTAACTCAGCAATCACAATCAACAGCACGACTCAAACATACACACATAACTTCACTCTTGCTTGGGTATCATTATCTCACTCCAAGTCACATGCCCAGTGCGCTCGCCGGACACGCAAGGAGGAATACTCCCGTCTAGCAGGATTCGGTGCGCACTCCGATCCGCCGCGGTGTACGCCGGAATTTTCAACGGCCCGTGCAGGCTTCGTGATCCACTGACCACAGCATCCCGATCAAACTCCCAAGGCATCTAGGGCATTCTCATCCTAGGCATCGTAGTCCACTGACCACGGCATCCCGCATTCCCTACGGCTCCTCGGGGCATCGTCGGTTCACTCAACGACGGCATTTAATAACCCAGCAAGCCCACACAAACTAATCATTTCATGCAGTACATAGTTCATCAACAACAAAATCATCCTTTCTCAATATCACATAATTCACAGTTTACCACTTTAGCAGGACATATTGTAAGTCGCATTTGCGGTCTCGTTCACTAAAGCACTGCTTTGACTAATCGTCAACAACACATCCCACGACACGTGGCTAACCATATCAAGGTCTAGCATGACTCATTGGAAAGATCAGAGTTTATACATTTCATCTCCAGAAGACATCAAATTGAGATTCCAGCAATTTCATGTGGAAAATACTAAGTCTTTATAAATTGGTAAAACTGGGCAGTCTTGCACCGGTTTTAAAATCAGACTTAACTGGACCTTTACTGCTTTCCAAGTTTGTAGAGATTTCTGTGGTTAGAATTTTGCAAGACTTCCTTCATGAAAGTTGTTCAAAACATCTGGAAGTATAACATATTTTAATTTCATAATTTTCGGAGTTGTTTTGGGTAACACGAACGCCAAATCTCTAACCCGTGCCGACTGCCCTGGTGCTCTGTTTCAGTGACCTTTCCACATTCTTGAATTTTTATAAAATTTTCTAGAATGATTCTGAACAAACTTTCTTCAGAAAAGGTTTTGAGGATGTCTTTATCTACAACATATTTAAATTTCATAATTTTTGGAGAGGATTTGGATACTTAAATGAACTCATTTTGAGAGGCAAGGATTCTGTCCCGATGAACAGTTTTTAGTCTGATTTTAAGCCCCCGAACGAGGCATTTACAGAAATAATTAGACTTTGAATCCTTCATGAAAAATGTTTATCAAGGTGTCTTCGGTGACATATCCAAATTTTAGAATTTCTGAAGCTCATTCACTATTTATTTAAGTCTGATTTTAAAACCGGTGCAAGACTGCCCAGTTTTACCAATTTATAAAGACTTAGTATTTTCCACATGAAATTGCTGGAATCTCAATTTGATGTCTTCTGGAGATGAAATGTATAAACTCTGATCTTTCCAATGAGTCATGCTAGACCTTGATATGGTTAGCCACGTGTCGTGGGATGTGTTGTTGACGATTAGTCAAAGCAGTGCTTTAGTGAACGAGACCGCAAATGCGACTTACAATATGT